CTAGGGTTCATGCAACCAGGGTAGGATTTTTCAATCCAATATTGCATTTGTTGAAGATCGGGAATTTATAAATTTTGGTTTTATGTTATCCAAACTTTTAAGATGTTTTACAAAAATAAATAAATAAATAAATAAATAAAATCGTTTCTTTTTCTTTACTACTATTTCTGACTAACCAAACAAACCGGGGAGTAATAACTTGAATTATGACAAAGAATATATTAAGGTACAAAATAAACTCATTAATTCAAATGAACAAGTAAACTTCATCACAACACTACTGGGATTACTCAATAGCCTCACCATCAATCATACGTACTTGCCTAAGTCGGAAACGTTAAAAGTCATTTTTGGTAGTATTTTGGAGGGATTTATTTTACGGATAAAATGCTTTTCAGTTTTTAAGTTGCAACTAAAAACAGTAATCACCCATCAATCACGGACTTTCCAAACAAAACATTTTACAGTTTACATCTATGTTCATGAATCATATATGGGCAAATCATAATTAAAAGGGTAAATTATCCCCACCTTCTCTCTTAAGTATATCTTTATTACTAGTAGATTAATTTTTTTGTAAAATTACTCCGACACCACTGTCAGTAACTATCTATAGGTGTGTTGAAGAGATAGACCGAAATCTCTCTCTCTCTCTGTCTCTCTAAAAATGTGTTGAACAGAAATGAAAGACAATCGTCCACTTCCTCTCTCTCTTTAGCTGGTCCAAGATATCCATCGAATGCAATAAGATTGTATCGATTGTGATGCCAGGATTTTTTCGTAAATTTAAATCTTTATGTAAATTTATATTAAAATATTAACGTGAACAAATTCGTAATTGCATACTTTACATTAACGGTGTTAACGATAAACGTCTAACAGGAGAAGTGAAGAGTAATTTAAAAAATAATAATAGATAATGCATGGATAACCGATAAGATACATTGAGTGTGTTGAATTCTGAAAATAACTAGTCCAATGTGCTGAATTACAAATAATAAGTGTGTTTACACAATAAGATATTGTTAACGGTGCAGGCATACATTATATATATGTTAATGTAAGGCTAATAATATTTTAAGAGATATTTTACATATATATATATATATATATATTTATATATAGATATGATTTCATTCATGTTAAGAGTGTTGAACATCAAATTAAGAATGCTGAAAATAAGGGTTTAAGAGTGTTGAAGATTAAATAAAAATGGTGTTCAAAATCAAATTAAGTGTTGAAAATCAGGTTTTAGGGAGTTGGATATCATATTAGAGTGTTGAATATCAGGTTAAGAGTGTTGAAAATTAGAAAAAATGGTATTGAAAAGCAGATTGAGTGTTGAAAATTAGATTAAGATTGTTAAAAATTAGATTTTAACTAGGGTTTAATTTCAGATTAAGAGTGTTGAAAATAGGGGTGTTCAAATAATTCGTGAATCCGTCAAACCGATCCGAACCAATCCGATCCGTGTGGTTCGGTTCAATTTCTTAATCTAATGATTCGGTGATTGTTTTAAAAATTAGTAATCCGCAATGAGCGGTTCGATTAACGAATTGAACATTGAAAAAACCGAACAAATCCGTTAACCGATCCGATCCGTGAATTATATTATAATATATATATATATAATATGTATACTGTAATATATTATTTCTATTGATTTATTTTTTATTCATTATTTGCTTTTAAATTTTAGCCCTACATAAAAGTAATCTAACCCTAGGTTTTCTACTCCCAGCCTCTGACTCTCTGCATGTCTATCGATTCTCTCTTCATTCCTCATCTCCAGAAGAAACCATATTATTAATTTATTATCATAACATCTGCAAAATTCTTGCAAATCTGTTTTGATAGATTTATTGTTTGGCTGAGTCATAACTAAAATAGTAAAATATAATCATAACTACAATATAATTATATTGGGTTATTTGAAAAAACTCAATCCGTGGGAACCAAACCGAGCCAATTCGTTATTTCACGGTTCGGTTTGGTGCAGATTGATAATCTCCACGAAGCGGTTCGATTTCAGATTTAGCCAATCCATGAGAACCGGAGTAATTTGAATTTTACCAAAAACCGAACCAATCCGATCCATGATCAGCCCTAGTTGAAAACTAAATAAAATGGTGTTAAAAATCAAATGGAGGCATGCACTACATTTTTATTTTTATTTTTTTAATGGTGGGAACTAAGGCATACACCACATTTAGTATACAATAAGCATTCGTATGAAAAGTAAAAGGGTTGAGAAACAGTGTTATTCTTTTCATCTGGGAAAGAAGAAATCACAAAGGACTGCAGGAATGGTAGAAGTGAGAAACTGGGCCAATTCTCTGGTGCTTCATGTCTTCCCTTGTGGTTAAACTTTTAAGCATACTAATTTTTTGTTTTTCAAGTAAAATAATTTTTTATTTTTACTTTGTCAGTGTTTGGTAAATGTCTATATCGAGGTTGAGGTCGAGTTTATCGGGCGGAACATATAAAATAACTTATCAAAAATTGATCAATAAATTATTTTTGTTAAATTTTAATTTTTTTTTCCTTTGTAAATATTTTACGACAACCAAATGTCAAAAAATAAAAATATATATTTTTTAAAAAATATTTTACGTTCAAATAAATGGAGCCTAAATAAAATGTGAGAGTTCTAACCAGTGATCGAGAGAGTGAGAGATGGTGGCTTTCCAGTGAGAAGTCGGTGGTTGTCGGCGGCTCTTACGGCTGGGTTCCAACGTTGTTCTCTTCTATAGGGTAAAAGAGACTTCTGTTGTGGAAGAGAGAGAGAGAGAGAGAGAGAGAGAAAACGATGGCGTACAATTTGTTTTTTATTCCTTCCAAGCGAGAAACTTAATTTGGCGCCCCCTCAACACATTTAACAAATAATAAATAAAACATGTGATTGCAATTTGCAAAAAATTTCAGGACAATTTTGTAAAGATTCTTTTATAAATTATTTTAATATTTAATTATTTTTTCTGTTAAATATTATGATATGCATTAAAATTATCGTTACAAGTAAAAATAATTTTCAAACATTTCTACAAAATTATAGTATGTAACATTAATTAGTATTAAGGAAAACACATCAACTTCTCTTTGTTACATCTAATTTGAACAAAATTTAGTGACAAAATATATACTAAAGATAGATTATCAAAAATCAATCTTTTTGGATAAATTATTTTTTCTTTCCTTTTGATTTGTCATAATTATACGGATCTCTTATGTAGTTTTCAAAATTACTCTAACCTCTTCTAGAAACAAAACCTTATTACACGGACCTCCTTTTTAATGGTCATCGTTAATCAATCATAGAATTTGTTGATGTCATGTACTTAATATATTCAAAATACCACTATTGCCCTTGCTAGAATTGAAAGACATTTTGAACCTTGTAAAGTGACATGAGATTACAAAACTACCCTAATCTCTTCCGACGTACCTGTTACATAGTTTTCAAATCTCATTTTCAATACTTCATCAACAATTCCTTACTCAGATTTTCTCATCTTCATGAGAGCAAACCTTGAAAGTTAATAAAACGAACAAGCCCATGGGTTAACACATATTTCGTCCCAGCAAAATCAAAATATTAATACAGTGATTGAAGAGCATTGATTAATTTTTATTTTTTGTTTCTTTCTTATACAAGCCCATGACCGGTCGCTATAAGGGGAGGTATGTGTAATAAGGTTTCGCTTTTAGGAGAGGTTAGAGTAATTTTAAAAATTATAGGCGAGCTTCGTGTAATTATGACAAACTTCGAGGGATGTCAATGTAAATACTCTCATATCAACTTACTTCCAAGTTCCAACATCAAAGTTTATGCTAGAATATGTGATTAAACACAAAATCAAAAGCTTTTGGAAGCCATATTAGACTGATCACGTAAAACATGAGCTCACCACCATCATCAATTCCAAAAAGTTTTATATAAACTATTGATCTTGCTCGATAACTCAATCCAGTAACTTTATCATGAATGAATTAAGTGTAATTACATGTGTTTACCACTCATTAAACCTAACTTCTGTACGAAGTATACAAACATATATATATGCATAGCCTACATAATCAACAAAAGTACTTTAATGTCAATAACATACATACCTATATGACATTTACAGAAGAAAGGAAAATGTTAGAGGATTAGATGTGCCATGGCCTAATGTCTATGAAAGTAAAATTTGCCAGGTTATTAAACCCCTCGAAAACATTAGCCCTTTCAATCAACACCACTCAGCCCAGAAAAATCTATTAATTTCAATATCTTGAAGATGCATCGATAGACAAAGAGGCACCACTTCTGGTTTAACAAAATTGAAAATTATAATAAAGACAAGCAAATACAACAATAAAAAGACAGGAAGAACCATCTTTTGGTATTTCACAAATAACTCACAAAAGTTAATAGTGTTTTCATTGCCCACCATGAAATGAGGATCGTTTTTTCTCTGTCCTTCAGGTTCCAAGAAATAAAATTCGTAATTCCAAACTCATTGACCAAATATGTGTGTTGTCCAATAAAACATATAATAAACTCTTTAACTTCCCCTTTCGGATCCAAATGCAAATGCAAATGCAAATGCATCTGGAATAAACATTTTTGTCGGGTCACTTTGGATCCCACAAGAATTATTTTCTGCCCTGCTATAACAGAAGATGGGACATTTAGCGTGGCATACGCTCCTCATGGTCAAGGTCCCAATTATCTCTGCAAGAGTTCTAGGAATCTAATTTCTTCGAGCTGCCTGTCAGTACCAGAAATGAAGCTCTTAACATAAAAAAAGCTTACAATTCTTCCCTCTAGGCACATGGAACAAGTCCGGTACCATTGCATGGATGCCAACCAATATGATGAAAACCAGATTGGTACCATAATGCAATCAGCTTATGAAAGAAAGAATTAAATCATTAAGAAGGGAAAACACAGCAAGAGCAAGATTAAGCTAACGAATAGCTTAAACACCCGCAACTCAAATCCAAAGAAAGGGAGAGATAAAAAGCTGCTGTAGCAAGCTGATATTATTGATAATACGTAGTAAAAAAAAAAAAACAATGAAAACTTCGTTGTTCATCTTCATCCTCAAAAGAGGAGTACCTGCCCGAGGGCTGACAAGATGTAGTATAGAACAGATAAACAGTGGTAAAATCAACCAAGTATCACGTAAAATAAGCCGCCAAAAAAGCAAGGCACCATTCCATTACATATAAAAACAAGTAACCAATCTTAATCTCTGAAATGGATGTCTCATGACCTGTTTGCTATCTTCCTATGTTCTTTAGAATGTTGTAAAGGGAATGATAAGCCTAAAAAACTATCTCAAGTTTCTCTGTGTTTCTCTTGTTTATATTAGTAGTACTAACTGACCTCTATCTCCCGTCTCTAAAACATCTTACTTACCATCAGTACCCGCTGTTTTTGCCACCAAGTGGTTTGGGGTGTACTTTTCCATCAGCCGGTTTAGTTCAGCATCGAACTCCCTTTCCAGTCCAACCTCTTCCTCCCCGCGCTTTTTCTTCATTGAAATCTTTTTTTGTTCATGATCTTTTAGCAGTTTCTCCCTCTCTGCAACAAATTCTTCCATCTCCTTGTCCTGAAATTCAATGAATTTTGCAATTTCCTCCGCCCTATATCCAGGGTTTCGAATAGAAAATGAGAAGCAGAGAAGTTCATAATAACTCATAGACCAAAAAAGAACAGCAATGATTTTTTCAGCTATATATCCAAGGATTGGAAAAGAAAATTAGAATAACAGAGAATGTAGAAAAAGGGCATATATTACCTGTGCCTGTGATCAGATGTATTAGAGCTATTTGTTTGTTTGACTTTCTCTCGCTCCTGTTGTTGCATCTTCTCAAAACTGTCCTCCCTTGCATCCCGGGCGTCCTGAATGATTCTTAGTTGTTCCTTGAAGAACATTTCCAGATAGTCCATCTAAGCAGAATAAAAGGCAACAACCAAGAGGAAAGAGGGACCCAAGAGAGAGGGGAAAAAGGGAAGGAAAAAAAAAAAAAAGTATAGAATTAGTATTGTCAAGCATATTTCAAACACTGACTTGTAGAAATTAACCAAAAGTGAGATAATTCTCTCAAAGTCGAACAGAAATGCAATTTGTTAACATGAACTACATTTTTTTTTTGATAAGTAGGTTAATATGAACTACTTCAATTCATAAATCATGAACAACTCAATTTCCTTTTCATTTGTTTTGAGCAATTGTTCAAGTACATGGATATATATAAGGCCAACCGCATTACAGATTTAACAAATCTGATACTTAGCCCTAGCCAATCAGCAGATGTGTTGAGGATCCGTCATTTCAAGATAAAAGTAGCAGCCTGACTATGAAGGATGCTTTGAGGTAAAATATCCCACTTAACAGAGAATGGATAAACAGGAATCATATTATCTGAACACAATAAAGGATATCAACATTTATATTAACATGGGCATTTGTAAAGTGTTTGTAATAGGATCTACATAGAATAATGCCAATGTAAAATCACAAATTCGCAACTGATTGAGGATTGCCATCTATTAGTGATTTAAATGTGTCAAGAACTGAACCTTTGCCATTGTTTGATTTACGATTAGCAATAAATAAAAAGTTATATAACTAATGCACTCCCACACAGCCCCTAACTAAGGATGGCAAGGTTCATATACGGGATGAAGCCTATCCTCCCTGCCCTTACACCCCCTAATGAAGCATTCCCCAAACCCCAAATGCCCTATCCTGCCCAGCATGAAAACTCTAATCTTTAGAATAAATTGTGCAAGAAGGTGAATGTAATATATTAGAACACTAAAGGCATTTATGTGATTCAACTGTATAACCACAGCAGGGCAGGATGGGTACCTGCATAATCAAGCAATTTGCAATCCATGATCCTCCAAAAAAGGGAAAAATAAAATGTAACATTAGACACAAATCTTCAGCAATAAAATTGCAAATGTATGCCCTTCAAAATCAACAGCCATTTCCTCCTTCATCAGGTGCAGATTCATAAGACTGTTGCAGTAAACTACAATCTCCAAAAAGATAAACATGTCCTCTATTGTACAAAGAAGTAGTCAAAGGGTGCCTTAGCAATTCATGGAAGGTATGAAGAGTACAATTGAAAAGAAAAGAAATTCTCATTAGATACACCCTAAACCTAACTTCATCAAACTGGTCGTTCCTTTTCAAGAGATATGATGAATAGGCAAAATTTTGACAAAGATCTGCGCAGTTCTTTATATGTCAGCGATTACTGAAGGAAATATTTTTAAGAATTATAACAGAAAATCAAAGTTATATATACAATAGGTGTCGGAACGAAATTGTGCTTATTATGCGGAAACAGAAACAAAAACAAAAAAAATAAATAAAAATAAACGTACAACTTTATCTGAAGCTCATTATGCATATTCACAACATATACTACTCGACTTGAGATATAGTCTACAGGGCATTCCAGTAATCTAACAGTGGTATCTTGATGAATTGTTACATGAAATTGGCTAATTAGACCATTTGGGTGGGGGAAAGTACTTATAGTAGCTACCCAGCAATAGCATATGCCAACTATATTTACCAAAGGTCTTGAGGGATTCAGTCCATATTATAGTTATCATTTGAGGCACAAACACCACGACCTATGGTTATGTTAAAGCGCACACACCCACATAATGCCCAAGGCAGTAGTGCAAGGAACCGTCACTTGGGGCTGGGGAAGAGTCAAATTCAACATCACTGGAAACAAAATTTATTGCAGTTAACAATTACCTCTTCCTTGTTTTCTTCGTGATGCTTTTTTGTTCTTTGCCTCACAATGCGGTTTTCCTCTGAGGTTTTCCGCAGCTTCTCAGATAATATACCAAAAGACTCCTTGAGGGCTTTGGAATGCCTCTGTTCCTTGGCAACTTTGTTCTTGAACCAGACAAGCTGCTGATTGTCTTCACTCATTTGCTTCATCTGGCTCACAACCACCTCCTTGTATGATCTCATCTCAAATTTGAGTTTGGATTTACCTAATCAATCGCACAGCATACAAAACATAATTGTATAAGAACCTAGTAGAAGTACTCTTGTATCTCCAAGACCAAAATAAACTATGCATTCAATTATCAACTATAGGTGTAGGCCAGGAGAGCAAGGACCTGGAGAATGCTGGTTAAAGATATCCATGTCTCCTTTCTCTGCCATGTAACCATATAATTGGCGCTGCCCTCCAGGATAGAAAAAAACACGACAATGATCCCAAGCCTCCCTATCTGTCCCCTGATCCTTGAAATGCTTATCCAGACGCTCAGCCTCTAAATAACCAATTGCTGAGCTCTCAAAAATCAAGACACTCATCCCACGGTGCCCTTGTGGACCATAGGAGTGCCTAGCCCTCACTGCGCGATATGAACTAAAGTAATCAAGAAGCTCTTCATTTCCCATGCCAAGCCACTGGAAGCACAATGCAACATATTGAATAATCAATTGAAAGCAAGCAAAAATTTTATTTCATAAAACCAAATATAATGTGTCTTTTATTACAGTTCCACTGATTAAAAATTTAAAATTATGCGGTTGTCGTCCAAATAAAATAAACAAGACAAAATTGACTGTACCTTCTCATTATCATCCTTCTCAAGTCTTGTATTCATAATGACAACCATGGGAGGCCAAACTATTTCATGATCCTTGACAGTTTTATCCAGACCTTTCCATTTGCCATACACTTCACCAGCTGGTATGACTGATGTTCCCCTCCCGTGTAGCTCTTCATCCAAAAGTTCTGCAAATTCTCGGTGGAGCTTCACCCTGTTTGATCCTTTGGTCTTGGCATGTGTCATAAGGGGCTGCAGGCCTCGGTACCAATCAATGGCACCAGGCCCATTTTGACAGGCTGGGCAGTGCCACTGCCTTGCCGGTTCATGGATCTGCTCAACAGTCAATTTATCCAAGATATCAAAAAATGCATTGAACCACCTGCTTCTCTTACGTGTGTCGTGGCTTTTTTGGCTCACATCTGAATCCCAATCGTCACTGAAGAGTTCATCATCTGTATCATCAACAGCATCTGAATCATCATCATCATCGTCATCATCCCCAATCTTGTTGACCTTGTTCTCACTAACACCAAAAGGATGGGGATTCAGATTGATCCCATTTTTTTCCAGGTCACGTTCTGAAGGCAGAGTAGAAGCTGCAGACTTCCAATTCCAACCATGCTGCAATGCAGGAGAAATTACAGGCACTGGGCTAGTGTAGTTGCTCTCAAAACCTCTGTTCGATGATTGGGGTCTTGAATATCCTCTTCCAGGTAGTCTTTTGGAATCAGCATTCACTATTGGGAAGCTACTGCCAGACTTTCCTGATCCACTATTACTCTGTATACCCAGCTTCTGAACTCCATCTTCATTTCCCCATGCTTTAGGATTAGAGTTCTGAGAACCCCATGATTTGGAAGCATTGCCTCCTGCTATACTTTTAGACTTCTTGGTATAAACCTTCCACTCACCATCTTGTGCAGCAACCAGGCTGATGTCTGCCACACCATGGTTTAACTGATCAACGCTGATGCTAGAGATCTCAGATATGTTTTTTTCCTTGGACGAGTCAGTAGTACCAGCAACGAATGGCTGTGCACCCCCTTTTCTCGAATTCATTGTAGAATCTGTCATATGGTCATTGTTTTAAATGAAAATTCAGTTGGCACTTGAAATGAAGATTAGACTTGTTGTTCAAAGAAACAAAACCAGAATTCTGCCTTATCAGTGAGACTATCCAAAGGAAGAATCCCAACAGCATGTCAATATATAGACATAAAAATATCTGGTAAATTTAGATATAAGATATTCAGAACAAGGTCTTCTGTGGTCTTGTGAATCAAAAGGACCACTGAATACATAAAGACATAAAATTAATTTAATAAAGCAAACTGCATATATAACTTGAAAATTGCAACTAACACAAAAAACATCAATGTACGTGAGCGATTCAAGAAACATAGGTTTCATTTGACATGTAACTTATCCAGAAATCTAAAGAATTTACCATAAGAAATACAATACTGCAATTTTCACAATTTGTAATTTATACCCCCTTCAAATTGCATTTAGCATAACTCAGGCTCCCTCCCAATTCATCTTTCTCCAGGGGAAACAAAAATTAAATAAATGCATAAAAATGATAACAAAAACAGCAATAAAAAGAAGAAGGTACACTATATTACTAAATTAATAAAAACAAATAAAACTCCACTAAATGAATCAATGTCTCCATACTAAACTAATTATTAGTTACCTAATGCAAAAGACATGATAAATAGAATAGCAGACAGAGAATCAAAATGAAGGTCTACTAATATTTTAATAAATTCATTTTAATCATAGAAACCACTTACTAGAATGCACAACACAGTGTATAGAAATCATCAATCATCTATAAAATATATAAATTAAAAGGGAAAAAAAAGGCAATACAAGCAATCAAACAAACAGACTTTCACTCAGCCTAGTAAAACGTGATCTGCATCAGAAATGAGTATGAGATATTACCTAAAAAGCCCTGTAAAAGAAAAACAAAGAAAGGTCAGGAAGATAGGCAGAGAGATCGAGCAAGAGTATATACGAGTGTGTGTGTGTGTGTATATATATATAGATAGAGAGAGAGAGAGAGGGAGGGAGAGAGAGAGAGAGAGAGAAAATTGGGGAAACGACGTCAGAGGAGGTAGAAAGACATAGAAACAATGTAATGAAATAGATATTTACAAAGATGAAATCCACACAAACACGCAGTCACTATGCACAAACAAGAGAAAATGGAGCGGATAAAACCACATATACGAACCGATTATTTGTGTTTGTGTGGGTGTGTGTGAAGAGAGAGGAATTACTTATAAATAACATGTATACATAGAGAGAGAGAAATTAGGGAAAGGACATCAGAGGAATACAAGGAAAGGTGTAGTAGGAAGGCATAGAAACAATGTAAAGGGATATACATTTACAGAGAAGAAATCTAAACACACAGTACGTCAATATGCTTAATGAAGAATATATATATATATATAGCGCAAACAAGAGAAAATGCAGAAAAGAGAAGCACAGAAACGAACCGATTATGTATGTACACTACAAACAAGAGAAAATGCAGAAGAGATGAGCACAGAAACGAACCGATTATGTATGTATACTACCGATTATGTATATAGATATATAGATATATATGTTTGAAGAGAGTAAAACTAGGTAAAACACGCACAGAGTAGTTAATCTCTGGAGACAAAAAGGAAACAAAGAAAACAATAGTAGTATTACCTGATTCCAACCAGTAATCGCCTGCAAATGGCAAGTTTCCGGCGAACTCTCCTTCGATTGCAGAGAGAGACAGAGAGAATACTTAGTTATAAAGCAAAAGTCCGGACTCCAAAAATTTATGCAATTTGGTGAAGAAATAAGAGGGTGAGTGTACTGGTGGGCAGCAGGCTTGCAGGTGTACGGAAAATTTTGGACACAACGGATTTGCATGACCTCCGTGCTTTTGATGCAAAATGTGTGTGTGGGTGTGTTTTTATTTATTTATAAAAATAAAATCATTTTTAACTTTTTTGGAAATATTCCACATATACGGAAAGAGCCAAGATTTTATGGTTAGTGTGTCAAAAGTGGGTCAAATATTTACGTAAAAATTTTAGTATTAGGATGTAAGGGATTAGGGATGGTAATGGGACGGGTTTGGAGCGGGTTTTTCTAAATTCCGCCCCACTTCTTCCCTTTTAATTTTTGTCAAATTCATACCCACCCTGAGACTCGCGACGGGTTGGACTTTTATGTCACGTCCCGTCCCGTTGGGATATACTGTGCCCCCGTGCCCGCTCTGCTAACAAATTTTTTTCTCCCACTTTTTGGAACTTAAGCTCCTACTATTTAAATGTGAAAAGCTTAGGAATGACACAACATAAATGAAATTATGTATCCCAACAAAAATAAAAAAATAACATGCACATAACATAATTCAAAGAACATAATAAACAAAAATAAAAGTTTAATATAACCAAATCACAAGAAATTCTAAACTCCAACTTCCACCATAACAAAAACAAAAGCAAATTTATTACTAAGTTTATATCCCAAATTAAGATTGTAAGAGATGGGTAACTAGGTAAGCCGTTAAAATAAGTTATTAATATAATATATATATATATATATATATATATATATATATATATGCTTAGCGGGGCGAGACGGGACCCCTAGGATATGTATATTGAACCTTTACCAGCCCCGTGACCCGCGACGGGTACAAAATTTGTATCCATGCCTGCCCAACGGTATAAAAAGTGTTCCCATATTTATTATTAAAGGGGCTGGACAAGGCGGGGCCCCAGCTGGACCGTAAAAATTGACATCCCTATAAGGGATGACAATTTTTTCCGACCTGGCCGATTTTCGCCCCGCTCCCGCTTCTAATGGGGTTAATTTAGTGATTCCTAAATGGGTTTGAGACAGGTATGATAAAATAATTAAAAACCCAAAGCAAGTTTGAGGCGGGGCAGATTTAGTGATGACCCTGCCCCGACCCCGCCCCGATTATATATGTACCTTTTACTTTTTTTGTATATATAATATTTATATTTTATATTTTTAAAACTCTTGTTACTTTATTGGAAGGGTCTGTTAATTTATTAAAAGTCACTACTTGGTAATTTAAAAGTTGGGTCGGCTTATTTATTAGCCCAATTTGAGCACATTAGGCTTGTTTTTTTTTTTTTTTTTTTTACACGATAAAAATGGCATAACCCGGCCCACCCCCACCGCACCCTGCAATTAAATGAAGTACATGGGACGAAGTCGGTATTTTGTCTACTGGAGTAGAGGCGGAGATGGTATAACAATTACAAACCCGTTCTGGAGTAGGCGGAGTTGATATGATAAATTTTCTGATGAGGTGGAATAGGATTAGCCAAAACCCGCCCCAACTCCGCCCTATTGCCATAAAGTAAGACTATTTAGCGAAGTTGAAGCTATAAAAAAAGAAAAATTTGCTAATTTCAAATTTGTGAAAATATTTCATTGATTTCTTAAAAGATAATAATGAAGGTATGCAAAAATTTTACATCTTTTAAAAATCTAAAATATCCAAATGGTCAAAATTTTGTTCAGTCCAAATTAATACATGAATCAAATACCATATTGTTGTAAATATAAGACAAAATATGAAAATAGAGAAGAGAGAGAACTTATTTATTCATAAGTTGAAAGATACAATATACAAGACCCTCAATCACACACATATATAGTCTAGAGTCACCGCTTATAAATGCTTAGTAACCAATCAATTGCATGGCATATACATCATTGAACTAATGGTATAGACACACATCAGTGGACCAATAGCATTCTTCCGCATCAGCAATCATCGCCTCATATTTCTCTCTGCATCTCCAACTTTCAATTATATGCATGAAATATAGTGGAGCCCACTTCTACATTACTCCCCTTTGAGATTCACTATACAATACTAAGAATGTGTCTCGTTAAAACCTTGCTAAGAAAAACCCAGTGAGATAAAAAATTAATGAAAGAAAAGAGTACAATATTCTTGTGTGTCAAAAAATAGTATTGCATAGGTTAGAACTGTCTCATTAAAACCTTGCTAGGAAAACCCATTGGGATAAAACCTGAGCGAAGAAAAAAGAGTACAGTATATGTCAATACTTTTTCAATTAAGTACTCCCCCTCATCAATGCCAAAAATCTTTAAATTGTCACATCCCAATGTTGTGGTTGGCAATGCCTTAGTGAACAAGTCTGCTAAATTTTCACATGAACCTACTTGTTGAATATCAATTTCACCAATTTCACCATTCTTTTGGCGTTTATGTGCGTAAAAGAATTTTGGTGAGATGTGTTTCGTCCTGTCACTTTTGATATAACCTTCTTTCATCAGTGTAATGCATGCAACATTATCTTTATATAATATTGTGGGGCTATCAGTTATTGATGAGAAGCCACATGTTGTTTTAATGTGTTGAATTATGGATCGCAACCAAATGTAATCCCTGCTGGCCTCATGAATTGCAAGTATCTCAGAATAATTTGAGAAAGTGGCAATCATTATCTATCTCATAAAGTGCCATAAGATAGTCGTGCCACCACAAGTAAACACATACCCTGTTTGTGATCGAGCTTGATGTGGATCAGAGAGATACCCGGCATCTGCATATCCAATTAGCTGGAATTTTGATTCTTTTGAATAAAATAATCCCATATCAATTGTTCCATGAAGATATCGCAATATGAAGATATCACAATATGTGTTTGACTCCATTCCAATGTCTACGGGTTGGTGTAGAACCGTATCTTACTAATAAGTTGACTAAAAAAGTAATGTCAGGTCATGTGCAGTTTGCAACATATATAAAAACAACAATTGCACTAAGATATGGTACTTCAAGACCAGGGAGTTCCTCATCATCTTCTAGAGGTTGAAAATGATCTTTCTTAACATCAAGTGATCGGACAACTATTGGTGAGCTCAAGGAATGAGCTTAATCCATATAAAAATGCTTCAGAATCTTCTCTGTATATGTTGACTGGTGGATATGGATTCCTCTTGATAAATGTTCAATTTGTAGTCCAAGACAAAAAATTATCTTTCCGAGATCTTTCATCTCGAATTCTTTCTTTAAATAAGTGGCAGTCTTTAGGAGCTCTTCAAAGGTTCTCACCATATTCAAATCATCAACATATACTACAACAATAACAAAACCTGATTCTGTTTTGTTAATAAAAATGCATAGACAAAGATGACTATTTACATACCCTTCTTTTATTAAGTACTCATTGAGACGATTGTACCACATGCGCCTTGATTGCTTCAATCCATACAAGGATCGTTGTAATTTTATTGAGTACATACTACATGGTTTTGAATCTGGCATTTTGAAATCGTCAAGAATCTTTATGTAAATATCATTATCTAATGATCTATATAAAGATGATGCATATGCAATCTTTTTGTGACTGTTAAATGTATTATGAATCTAAAAGTGTTTGCATCAATTACTGGAGAGTATGTTTCCTCATAATCAATACCAGATCTCTATGAGAAACATTGAGTTACCAGTTGAGTTTTGTATCTCACAATTTCATTTTTCTCATTATGTTTGTGTACAAATACCCATTTGTATCCAACAAGCTTAACACCCTTGTGTGTTTGGATGACTAGTCCATATATTTCTCGTTCAGCTAATGAACTTAGCTCTGCCTGTATTGCTTCTTTCCATTTCGGCCAATCATTTATTCGTCGACATTCTTCGACGTTTCAAGGTTCCGGATCCTCGTTTTCAATATCAAGAGTAACGGAATATGAGAATATGTTGTCGATAACAATTTCATTTCTACTGTATCTTATTTCATAATTTAGTGAGATCTCATCATTTTCAGGTACCATTGCCTCATTAAGGGCATATGCCTTATCAAGGGCCACATTATCATCATTTACTGTCTTTGCCTCATTAAGGCTTATCATTTCATCAGTTTTAAATACCTGGGCCTCATCAAATGCTATAATTCCAGATTTATCAATAATTTCTATTACTCCTTTTGTGGACTCTTCAGAAGCACCAACTTTCTTTGTGTTTTCTTCTTGCGAAGAACATCTTTTGCGCCAACTAGTCTTCCACGTTTCAAGTGTATCTTAGATGCATTTGCTGTAACATTGATAGATTGTCCCACAGGGACATTAATTTTTGCTGGAACATTTGCAGCTGGTACATGTGATTTTATTATTTTATTTGTATCAGTAAATACATCAGGTAATTGATTTGCAACATTTTGCAAATGAATAATCCTCTGAACTTCTTTTTCACATTGATTTGTGCGAGGATCAAAATGAGATAATGTTAAGGCATTCCAAAATATCTCATTATGCATTTCAGAAATTTTCTTTTCTCCCCCTAATGGTGAGAAAACAAGCTCATCAAAAAGACAGTCGGCAAACCGTGTTTTAAATACAGCACTTGTTAAGGGTTCAAGATATCTGTAACGACCCACTCCATCACATGGTATGATATTATCCGCTTTGGACCTGAACCCGAACGGTTTTGCTCTTGGGCTTCACCCCAAAAGGCTTCATACCAATTGGAGGTGATGCACTTACATATAAGCACTTCACCTTTCCTCTACCCAGGCGATGTGGGATTGTGCACTCGTAGCTCGCCAGTGTGGTAGCCTGATAGTGTCTCTCGCACCCACCCACGGCACACCCGCCATAAGGTCATCACAATCCACCCCCTTTGGAGGCCCGACGTCCCCGTCGGCACACTTCCGGCTGGGTCAGGCTCTGATACCATTTGTAATGACCTGCTCTATCACTTGGTATGATATTGTTCGCTTTGGGCCTGAGCCCTCACGGTTTTGCTCTTGGGCTTCACCCCAAAAGGCCTCATACCAATTGGAGGTGACACACTTACATATAAGCACTTTATCTTTCCTCTACCCAGGCGATATGGGACTTGTGCACCCGTAGCTCGCCAATGTGGTAGCCTGTCAGTATCTCTCGCACCCGCCCACGACACACCCGCCCACAAGGTCATCACAATCCACCCCCCTTGAAGGCCCAACATCCCCGTCGGCACACTTCCGACCAATTGGAGGTGACACACTTATATATAAGTACTTCACATTCCCTCTACCCAAGCGATGTGGGACTGTCAGGCTACCACACTGACGAGCTACGAGTGCACAGTCCCACATCGCCTGGGTAGAGGAAAGGTGAAGTGCTTATATGTAAGTGTGTCATCTCCAATTGGTATTGTGATGACCTTGTGGGCGGGTGTGTCGTGGGCGGGTGCGAGAGACATTGACAGGCTACCACATTGGCGAGCTACGGGTGCATAAGTCTCACATCGCCTAGGTAGAGGAAAGGTGAAGTGCTTATATGTAAGTGTGTCACCTCCAATTGGTATGAGGCATTTTGGGGTGAAGCCCAAGAGCAAAACCGTGCGGGCTCAGGCCCAAAACGGACAATATCATACCATGTGGTGGAGCAGGTCGTTACAAATGGTATCAGAGCCTGACCCAGCCGGAAGTGTGCCGACGGGGACGTCGGGCCTTCAAGGGGGGTGGATTGTGATGACCTTGTGGGCGGGTGTGTCATGGGCGGGTGCGAGAGACACTGACAGGCTACCACGTTGGCAAGCCACGGGTGCACAAGTCCCACATCGCCTGGGTAAAGGAAAGGTGAAGTGCTTATATGTAAGTGTGTCACCTCCAATTGGTATGAGGCCTTTTGGGGTGAAGCCCAAGAGCAAAACCGTGCGGGCTCAAGCCCAAAGCGGACAATATCATACCATGTGGTGGAGTGGGTCATTACAATATCTAATGATAGAAGGAGAATCAAAGCCAATATATATTCCAAGTCTACATTGAGGACCTATTTAGCGTTGTGGTGTGCAATAGGAACATATACGGCACAACCAAAAACTTGTATGTGAAAGATATTTGGTTGTTGTCCAAATACAAGTTGTAATAGTGAAAATTTATAGTAAGCAGTTGGTCGTATGTGAATTAATGATGCAGCATGTAATATGGCATGTCCCCAAGCAGAAACAGGTAATTTTGTTTACCTAAGTAAAGGTCGACCAATTAAATGAAGTCTTTTAATAAAAGATTTTGCCAAACCATTTTGAGTATGAGTGTTTACAACATAATTTTCAACATTAATTCCAACTAACATACAATAGTCATCAAAAGCTTGAGAAGAAAATTCAATGGCATTATCAAGATGGATTATCTTAATTGGATAATCAGGAAAGTGTGCCCGCAATTTGATAATTTGAGTAAGGAATCTAGCAAATGTAACATTACGAGTAAAAAGAAAACAAACATGTGACCACCGTATTGAGGCATCAATTAAGACCATAAAATAACGAAATGGTCCGCAGGGTGGATGAATTAGCCTACATATATCCTCGTGAATTCATTGTAAAAAGGTGAAGGATTCAACAATGACTTTTGAAGGGGATGGTCTAATAATCAAGTTGTCTTGTGAGCAGGCTGTATATAAATGATTATTTGATAAAAGGATTTTTTGATCCTTTAATGGATGCCCATGTGAATTTTCAATAATTAGTCGCATCATTGTAATTCCCGTGTGACCAAGTTGATCGTGCCAAAGTACAAAAAGTTTTGGGTCATAAGATTTTTGGTGTATCACAGCATTTGACTCAACTGTCCTAATGGTTATATAGTATAACCTAGAAGAGAAAATAGGAATTTTTTCAAGTACATGTTGTTTAGAAGTAATGTTGAGATATTACACATTTCCTTCATTCGTGGTCTCAATGTGATACCTATTTTGACGTAAGTCTTTAAAGCTCAACAAATTTCTTCGAGATCTAGTAGAATATAAGGCATTATCAATGTGTATTATTGTCTCACGTAGTAAAATAATATTAGCTTTTTTGGAGCCTTTAATCAAACTTGTGGGACCTGAAATTATATTAACACTAGCCTCAGTTAATGTTAAGTGGGAAAAATATTTTTTATCTCGAAGAATTGTCTGTGTTGCTCTACTGTCTGCAAGGCATATATCATCGCCTTTAACGAATGCATTTGATAGATCCATGCCTATATATATCATGCAAAGTTCGTATTTAGACTTTATTATGACGATATAAACTTTAATATAAGGATAGCAAAAGAAATTTTTAATTCAAATGTAACTAAAGAAACTTTAGTACAAGCACAACAATAAAAACAAATATAAAAAAATAAAAAATAAAAAACACAGACTAACTATAACATGATAAAAGAAAATAGAGTTTAATTGGTGTGGACATTTCCATCACCAATCAAGTAGTTAATTTTTCCATCACTAATCTCAAAGAAATCTGACATATCTTGATTTGTGATATCCACTGGCTCATTGAAATCAAGGAAATTCATTTCTATCTTTTTCCCTTTTTCCTTCAGTGAGGCTTGGTACAGATCAACCAAGTGTTTAGGCGTATAACATATACTTTGCTAGTGCCCTGTCATTCCATGTCGATAACAAATATTTGCACCTGTCTTTGCAGTTTGGGCCATACCTTTCCCTTTTTCATTATAATATCTTTTATGGGGATATGGTGTGAATCTTTGATTGTTAAAATTTGAGGATTGATGACTTTCATGGTAATATGAATGATTTCTTCCATGATCATATTCTCCATTATGACTATTTAGATTACCATGACCATAGTCATTGTCATTTTGACCACCACGGCCATATTCACTACCACGCCCACGTCAACGTCTACGTCCACTTCCTCATCCACGAAACGAGGCAACGTATGTTTCAGGAATCGGTGTCGATCCAGTTGGACGGGACTGGCGGTTTCTTAACAAAAACTCGTTATTTTGCTCAGCCACAAGTAAACATGATATTAGCTCTAAATATTTTTCAAATCTACGCTCTCGATATTGTTGCTGTAAAAGTACATTCGAGGCGTGAAATGTGATGTATATTTTTTTTCCAATAAGAGCTTATCAGTGATAGTATCACCACATAATTTCAGCGTAGAGCTGATTTTAAATAGAGCAGAGTTGTATTCAGCCGCAATTTTTGTAATGACCTTGTCATTTCCCTACCTTTTTACGGATTTTCTTTTTCCGTTGATGTTTTCTTTTTCTAAGTTCAAGTTTGGTCCCTTCGTGTTGTCTTGAGTACTCGTAAATGGCCTCTGACACTCTTCTCTTTTGAGATTTCTCTTTGTTTTATGAGAACCATGTCATCTTCTCACTTTTTCGGGCATTTTTCTTTTTTTCGTCTTTTTCCCGTTTGTCATTTCCTTTGCGTAACCTCACAGTTTGTGCTCGGATTTGACTTTCGACTTTACGTACCTTCATTCCATTTGGTTTCCATGGAACGCGTGTCTTTACTTTTGTGGAAAAGCACGCTGGTTATTCACTGTGTTCGTTAGGATACGAATGCAGAGTTTATTTGGAAACATTTTCTTTTCTTGGGGTATTTTTCATAAATATCTTTTGAAGATATTTTATTTCGGTGGTTTTTAAGAAAATATTTTGGATCATTTATGCAGTTATCCTTTTGTAGAGTGGCCTTTGTGCAATTAACGAAAGTTAATGCCAAGTGTCCTGTTTTGGACTTGGATCCTTGTACGGGATTCATTTTCACTTTTCGTCGAGTCACGTACTCTTAGATTTGGCTTCCGATCATTTTCCCCAGTTTTAAGGTTTTTGACCCCGGTTGCCGCCGAACTTACTCGGGGTATATCTTTCTGCTCGGGACTCCGTTTTTGACGTCATTTCTTTCATTATTCTTTTTTTTTTTCAGTTCTTTTTCGTTCATGATATTTTTCCGTTTGAGTGCGTTTGCATAGTTTTCACTTTTCTGGCCCACGCGGGGCCGTTCGAGGGCTATTTTGGAAATACTATAAATAAGGGGAGGAGAGAGAAAATTTCAGTCATATTCTCTCTCTCCCACTGCTGAGACAGTCTCCCCTCTATCCTTTCTTCTCCCTTCCACCTTCTCTCCTCCCTTAGGCCGCCTTAGCCTTTGATTTTTCCCTCGCCGATAAAGGCTTTATCATCGGCATTGACGAGGCCTTCATTTCCATCCAACTAGAATCCGGTTTCGACCATTTTTGAGTTTAGGTTTGAATTTTCGTGTTGCCGCAAGAGGGTTTGTTATCCCCCTCATTGTCCCCGTTATAACCCTGAAGTATCGTCGCATTTAGAAGGGTTTTATCTCAAATCGAGGTAGGGGATGTTTTCATGTTTATACCCTTAGTGTTTTACGAGTTTTTTGGGTTTATATAACTTGTATGCATGTCTTTATATAAAATCTAGAATTTAATTTAATTATTCTTTGCATGAAATTTAATTCACATAGTTGTATCTAGTGTGGAATTAACTTAAGACATGATATT